ACTGCAGAAATGTTGTTTTATAACTGAAATGTGCTATAGCCTTGCATTTTTTCCCCATAGATAGTTTCTTTAGATGTTGAAATGCTTGAAAATAGAACAAAGCTTAAAAGGGTCTCAGATGTCATGCTGTGGAGAGGTGATTTTTTTTCCAATGTGTTTGACACCATTGGAAAGATTAGAATCCATGCTTTCAGGATCTGAAAATATCTCAAAATGCCCCCAGGGAGATTTGTTCCTGGTTTTGTTGTGGCCATTCATATTTTGAATCTTAAGAAATTTGACTTATCTTTGCTCAGCTTAACTCAAATTTTTAAATATTGGTCAAACCTGAACTCCGTTTTTCTACACAAATTAGTCTAAAAGTATCAATTTATCACTTTGTGATTGGAATCTGTCATTTCTTTCCTGAATTGGAATTATTTAGCAGATCATATACTGAAAATATCAACATTTCTTCCAATTTTATTAGATGCATCACAACAAAGATTTTTCAGTCTATGAATAATTTAACTCACAGCATGCATTTGATGTACTTTTTGAAATGAATAAAATTCATATCAAGTTTGACTCATCGCTTTTCCTCAAAGATGGATCAAAGTCTTCAATTCCTTCATTTTCAGTCAGATTCAAATCAAATCAAGAATACACTTTCATGTTGTATAGCACTTAAAATCAAATAACTTCTGAAACCTTTCATTCTATGCGAGATAACATAAAGGGCTTGTTTAGTAATCTATTTTAGCAGGCTTCTTGCAGCTGCAGGGCTAAAGCTGATCCAAGGTGGTGTGCAAGCCAACTAAATTAATTCCTTTACAAATAAAATAAAGGATTCACTAATCACACTCTGGGATTAAACAAATCTATATTTAGTGAAGAATAAACCTGTTCAGATTGATTTTAGTTTGCATTTCACATTCTGGCTGATTAAAGAAAGGGAAAACGTATTTGTATAAATTTTCTTATAAATTCTGTTAGAATTGATTTGAAGCATATGGGCTTCAAGGTGAAATCAAAACAGTCATTGTCATACCAAATAACTGGAAAAGTATTGACAAATTAGTAGGCAATCAAAATAATCACTATTTGAAACCTAAAAACAAACAGGTATGTAGTTTTTCCAAGTGTCCAAAAACAGTCAAAATGACATATTGTTACTTCATTTCATTTGTTTTATTTGCTGAAGGAGACTATTTTACAATAAATCTTTAAAACAACCTGTACAATTAAGAAAACAAGAATAAAGTTTGTGCCATCAGCATCTATTTGCACTTGTCAGCCATAGTAATGCACACGAACATAAAATCATTTATCACGGTGAAATAGGTCACAGCAGTAAAGTTTCCTTTGCAGCCTGCTGACCTCTGCAGTGAAAGATTAACCCTAAAAAACCAGCACATTTTACATCTACAAAGGAACTCCATTTTGTGGCATCTATTATCAGAAGATACTGAATCCCAAATATTTTCTAGCACCCAAAGGATAGAAATATGAGATGTCTTCTGGACTTGCCAGCAAGAATCGTTCCACATGGCTAGATGTAAGAAATGGCCAAGCTTGGTTCAAAACAACAAACCTGAAAGCCACTTTCATGTCTTTGTTGTTTCTGGGCTCCAGAGTTTCCTGCATTTTGCTTTCTCAAGTGAACCACAGAAGAACACAGATATTTTTTAAGTTACTTCCATTTATTTATTTATTTTTTCTCAAATGTATGGCACAGTGAAAAATCCAGCCTGGCTGTGTTTCATGGGAATACATGTTTTCTACCAGCAAGACAATCTCTATCTCAACAGAACCAGCAGTCCAAGCAGCACCCTCACCAATTCATTCAATCAGAGATGGGTGTGTTGCATTTAGCCAGCAAAGTGGTTGACTCCATCTACTCAAAACAAACAGTTTCAAAAGCTGGTCTTTGTTTGCACATAAAGTGTACCTGATCTACTGTTTTCATCAGAAGCCACCTCAAGCTGTCCAAAGCAGATAAGCCGACATCAAGTTATCATAGATGTGGTATAAAAAAAACAAAAAAAACATTTGGTCTCTGATGAGCTTGGAACGAATAAAGTAACCATTTACATTTCTTTATGCATTACAAAAATAAACAAATTTTACACAACATTTTTAATACTGCTTGTTTATGCTACCACAATAAATTATATTTTCATTCAAACCACTTATTTGCTAATAAAAGTGCTGTAAACAACAATATGCCAATGCAAACTAAGTTGAAACAATTTTGCAGCACATTTCTCTTTTTATTTTAGTAAGATGGTGACATCAATTGTGATGCAACGCACCTCAAGTCACAATGTTACAATCATTTTATAAAAATAGGTAAACAATAAAAAGAACATATTTGGTGAAAAGAGCATATACATGGCCGACAGTTGAAAATGGGAAAAAATATTTAATTATTTAACTGCAAGAAATTATCAAAGTGTGAAACTTTTTAAAATGGCACACACAAGACTGCTGGTCGATGCAAACCTTATGAAAATATCAAATGTTTCACATTATGCGACAGAAAGCAATAAAAATATGTTTTTGCTTTTTGTTTCTCGGGAGGAAAATTCAAGAAAGGTGTCATTTCTGTTCCATAAAAAGCTTACCTGAAGCTGATATTCAGAACAAATACGAACATAACAACTGCCTTATGTTTTTTTTTTTGCATTTGTAGGGGAATAACTTTGAGGAAAGCACAGACTCTATGTCAAGACTGAAGTATTTCAGACATAAAGCTGCACTGAAGTTGAGTGTTTTGCACAGTTTGGTCAACAAATGCATACAGAGCTTCTACTTTCTCTGCTATTGTAACAGCTTTTTATCTACATCCACCGCTGTGTGTTTCTATCATTGTTTATCCAACTCTCAAAAGAACTTTGTCCAAGACTTAAACTGCTCCTACTTGATGCTCTTAAGTCAACAGCAATTAAAGAACAAAGACGGCTGTGTCAAGTATTATTCTTTGGCTGTTTTTTATGCAGGCTGGGTAGAAATGACATTTCCAAGATGTTTTTCAGAGGAGCTGTGCGAGAGAGTGCAGACATTTGCATCAGATGGATCAGACTTTGAAGTTTCTCGATAGCTCTCAAGTCCAAAGCCTGAAAATTGTCCGAATGTGTTGATATAACAGATAATTGTCAAGAGCATTCACACAGGCAAGTATGTGTATTTGTGTGCTCACAATTTGTTCTTGGAGTTTCTCTCATCCTCTTGTTTTTATCCAGCATACATAGAAACACTGAAACTGCTAATTTTACTACAAAAACATGAATATACTGTATATTTTAAGGCATTGGTATGTACATATTCATTTATTTTTTTGTTTTGTTTTGTGTCTTTTCTACGTTTTTATCATGAGGTACTTTGAACCGCCTTCGGAAATGTGTTACACAAATAAACTCAACTTAACATTCTCTACCACACTTACAAAACCTTCACAAAAAACAGATGTATTTGCAAAATAAAAGTAAAGTAAGTGGGAACACCAGAGTTTATTTGGGGGTATTAGATCAAAGGGGGCACTTTTTATTTGCTTGAAAGAAATGCTAAAATCCTTTGATGGTCACATGGTAGGATGTAATAAAATCCCCTTACACTACACAAAAGTATGTGGCTCTGACTTGAAAGTTGTTTTTGAAAAGTTCCGATGAATATTTGTTTTTCAGTAGCTGTGAGACTCAAAGTTCAGATGCAGAACCATAAAGTCATTTTGGGGCCAGAGAGTAAAACAAAGAATAGAGGTAAAAGTGAAACGGAGGGAAAAGTGTTCAGTTTATGCATCACCTTGAATCAAGGTGCAACTTGCACTTGGTGAAAACATTATCAGATGTGACCAGACTAACCTTTGCGAAAGGCAGAAAACAATTTGTTTGGAGGGAAAGTCCATCAGATAATGTCTCAATGTCTGCTTTATCCTCATCAGGAACAGCAGAGCCTTCATAATGTGCTGGTAATAGGCTGGCTGGATATACAGTTTGTGTTCATTACTAGTATTGCTATTACATAACTTCCTCACATGTACTTCTAAGTAGTTGGCTTCAAATCATTGAAGTGATGACTTGGAAAAAGATATAATATATAGGATGCGTAGGATCAGACAGCGTAAACTTGAAGGAAATATCAAGTAAAGATGTCTTCATAGAAATAAGCATAGTTGAGAGAGGGGAAACTTTAAGTCAGACATTAATGTGCTCAGACATTAAAGTGGAGAAAACTGACTCATTTTCAAAGAAGTTCTTGCACACTCAGATTCATTTCAGATCTGATGCATTTTCCATCAAATCCTTACATAGGAAAGATAACGCACACATATGAGCCTACTTCTACATTGTATACCATACATGTTGTGATAAATTTTGTTAGAGTGGTCCAATGCTGATTTTATAGATTAGAACCTTTAAAATCAATAAAGAGCTCTGGTGCAATCTATATTTAACAGAAAAACAGACACACTTTAAAGATGAAGTCACAACTCAACCAGCTGCCTGTTTCTCTAATCAATAGTGCTCTCTTTATTTATGTGAATTTTCAGTTCTCTCACAGACTGCTGTACAGCCCACTGGACCATTTTAATTATATTTTTTCTATCTGTAGAAGGAAAGGAAACGTGGAAGTGGGGTCCCTGAGGCAAATACATGCATTTATCAAAGACAACTTGATGCCTATTTTCACGACTTGATTCTTCTGTGGAGTATAAGGGTCTTATTTTTTAATCATGCAGTCTGCATGCTCCATCGTCTCTCTGCGTTGTGAATTGGACTGCAGAGCGCTGTTAAAATTCAGAGCAAGTATTTGGAGAAGACGGCACTTGCTTCTAGTGGACGTTCAAGAGGACCCTCCCCCTCCTCCTCATCCCCCCCCCCCAAATATAAGACAGAGGATCAAACCAGCCGAGTTCACGTGAGAATGATTGATGTAAAAACTGTGAACGAGAGGAAACTTCCAAGTCCGCCGTCTTCCAATTAGCGAGCAGGGGAGAAATGAATAAGACAGAAACTTACCACCCCCATGTCCAGCTGCTCGGTCGTCAGCGAAGGAGCCGCTCCGGTCAGAGGCAGAAAACACCAAACCGGCACCAGCGGCAGCAGGAGCAGCGGCAGCATCTCATGGGAGATATTCCTCATCCACTTGCGGAGAACCAGAGAATTCATGATGCCCTAAGACAGGTTGATCCTGCTGGGCTCAAATGTCCGCCCCGACGGCTGCATCCATCCGCGGGATGAATCACAAGCAAAGACACTGTAAAAAAATAAAAAAATAAATAAAAATAAACAAAAAAAAAAAAAATCCAAGAAAAAAAGAAAAAAAACTACGGGAGTATAAGTCTACCTCACTGTTAAGCGCAAACACATAAAACACATGAAACACGCTGCCAGTAAAACAGTTTAGGGAGACAGAACACTTTGTTACCCGAAAATAAAACAACAACAGAAATAAGAAACAAACAAACTTGCAATTAACACCTAAATATTGTCTGTGAGAGACAAAATAACTGTCTCGTGCCAGGTCCGTCAGAGCTGAGATCCCTGTGGCAACACGCGCGAGCTCTGAGCTCCGTTGTAGAGTCTCGAGCACAAAGTGAGAAAAAAATGTAAGCAGCCACCGCCAGCTGCGCGAGGTTATGTCGCGCGTGAGTAGGACCCCCAAGCCACGCGCAGTTACCCAATCAAATTCCGGAAGAAAATCCCAAAGTAAAAAATATTGATGGAAGAAAAACTTATTACAATTATGCATTGTGGAAATGTCACAGACAAAGTAAAAATTATTTACTGTCGATTATATTCATCAATAAATAATTGTACAATATAGGTGCATTGTGAGGAGCATTTCATTATGCAATGTTTTAAACTTGATGATGATAGAAAAAGATGTATAGTGGAAGGATCCGGTCTACTTTTCAGAAATGATAAGAACTAAAACTACAGATCACAGTTGATCCAGATAGATAGACAGACAGAGGCGTCTTTTAATAATTTAAATTATTGAATGGCGATAATAATTAAAAATGCTTGAAGTATTAGTCACAGAAAACCTGTGTGATAGGTTGAACATTTAGTCCTGATTTTATTTATTGATTTTTTTTTTTGCTCCATGGTGGAATAAACCAGTTCTAAGAACTTCATCCTGAACCCTAAAAACATGGTCCAAAGTTTGACAGAGGAACTCTAGTATACAAAAAAAAAAAAAAAAAAAAAAAAAAAAAAAAAAAAAACACACACACACACTTAAACTTGTATTTATTTATTTTCACTATTTGGGAAATTGAAACTACTACTTTAAAGTATTCTGTTAATACTCTTCTGTTAACTACTATTAACAGAGTTACTCTGTTAATAGTATTTTTTGCTACTATTAACAGAGTAGCAAGAACAAACTGTTGATAAATTTGATATTAACACATTTGATTGGTTTGGTATTTATTCCCTCGAGTTATTATGCCCTTAAGATTTTCTGCTCCAGTGAAAAATTACTCAATTAATCAACACCATTCTCCAAAATTACTGGATTTCTGTGTGCTTTTATTTTGAAGTTTAAATCTCTCCTCAAGCATCCTTTGACTTACCATTGACTTTGCCATGAGTCGATTTCAACAGCTGTTGGAGAATTTAAATTCAGCTGGAAGGGTCCATTATTTAATGTCTTTTGACTTTGATCATGATTCATCTGAGATTAAAAAAAGATAGTGTCCCAAAGGCTAATTAAGAAATGGCTTCATTGTTAGAGTAGCCTACTAATGTGATCTGAGGTAGTGCCAGAAATTATACTGCTGATTGATCGCAGGTGCTGCTGCTGTTAGTTTTTTGCTTTTGTTTTTTTTTTTTGTTTGTTTGTTTTTTTGGGGGTTTTTTTCATATAGGATATAATATATACGTCTGGGCAAGTCTAATGGCATAGTGGCATAATTACATTAGGAAAACATTTGGTCTTAGAGGCCAACATTTTAGGATGCCATGAAATGCATTATGTCTCTTTTAATGGTCTAAAAAGCACATTTTAATCATAGTATATGCTCAGGCTTGCACCTCTCGTCCCTCATGCCAAAACAAAATTGGTGTATTGCTCAGTCTCCTCAAAGGTCTTACAATAAAGCTTTATCTGATCTGATTTGGCTAAAATCTGCAGAGCATGTGGCACGTAGTGTATTTTATTATTTTTGCTCAAGCACTTATGATTTAAAGAAATGCTTGTTTCAAGGCTGTTCACAATCAGTCTTATGCAAACAAGAATTATTCTGCATGTCATGGATCTTGGGCTTTGTAAGAGTTTTATTCACACAAAGCTTTTTCCCACATCTAAAACATACCTGGAGTCTTGCTTTGCTTCTTTCGTGCATGTTTAAGTAATCTTTGAATCTTCCATCCATTGAGGGGTACCTAAATGCTTTCTCTTTCAAAGTTTTATGCAATTACTCAAAGCTCCTCCTTAGAGCTGTAGTCTCAAGCAGAGGGTCCAGTTCACATTCAGCTCCAACAGACTAGCAGCAGCATCAATTAGCAAACACCTGGAGGAACTGTGTGTCTGAGAGCTTATGAAACAAATTACTTCTCAGTCCAGCACTTATAAAAATTCAGCTTCTGATAACGAGCTGAAGGCAGAGTTTTGGAAAGAGCCGGAGCTTCTTAAAGAGACACAGCAAAATGTTAAAGTGTCAGTTGTTTGATGTGTGTTGCATTTTTATAACAATTGAAGGTAACATAGTTACTTGATTGTACTAAAAAAAAAAAAAGAAAGAAAAACAGGCTGTAAAATACATAACACGGCATCTTTTTTTCTTTTTTTTCCTCCAAGGAGTTTTGTTGGCTTTTGAGGCCAGTATTTTTTTTATATAATACTGCATCGTTAAGAAGAAACCAAAAGTGTACAATTTAATCTCTTCACAGTGACAGTGGAAAATGTAGTATTCATAGCAAGATGTTTTGTCTCAGTGATGTAGACAATAATAGTTGTTTCTTTTTGCGACCTTTATTTAACAACATATTTCTCGTTGAGATTGTAAATCTCTTTTTTCCACTCACATAAAACCTTCTAACGTCAACAACTTTTTTGTTTCAACTTTTTAGGTTTTCTTCAGGGACTTGAAGAAAGTCTTAAAAATAACACATTACCTGCACACAAAAATTGATTCACTGCAAGTTAAACAAACAAACAAAAAAAGATTTATTTTTAACCTCTTTTCCTTAAAAAAAAGATTTAAAAAATTATGCTTTGCAGCTAACAATGACTTCCCAAAATCAGATAGAGGGATCTGTTTTTGGAAGTCATTGTTAGCTGCTGTGTGAAGGTGACTTATCTGCTTTAGGCCTGAATAACAATATAGCTGCATACACACACCTCTGTAAAAAGTCCACAGATTGGCAGCCCATGCCAGCATCCTAACCATTTCGTATCTACTTTGATCGACAGTATCAATAACCTAACCGCACTGTCACTAATGATTTACTGCTCTTCTTCTGTGCATCACAGCCACAGCCTGGACTGTAAAAGAAGTTGCATAACAAGTGCCTGGGCTCTCGCGTCTACATAAAAAAAATAAATAATCCTTTTTACACAGTTTATCTTTATTTAAAGCTTCTTTCTATTTATTAAATACATCAATCATTTTTTTTTTTTTTAACCGTGAGCCCAGATAGCTGCTGCCATTAAGGTTCTGGTGAATATTATAGGAATGAGCTGAGGCCCAAACCTGCAAGATAAAGAAAAGCGAAAGCAATAGATGCAAAAAATGTAGAACTTTCCATTTCTTATTTTAACAGATCAAACTCTTTTAATGATACAAAATGTTGACAACTCTGTTCCACTAAAATATTATGAGTTTAATTTACTGTCGAACAGGCAGATATATAATATAACAATGAAACTTTTTTGTGTCTTTGATAGTTAAAAAAAATTGTAAAATTGGGGTCCATGAGAACATTCACTTGGTAACGTTGGTTTAACAAACAAAAAGTCCAGACACTACTGGTTTCAACTAAACCTGTGTTAGAATGCCTTAGTCAAAGTCAGGACCTACGCACCATTGCAGATGATCCATGCAACTTTAAGTTTTATCTTAAATTTATTAGAAATGGTCTGAATGCCAATCTGCCAAAATTGGTTCCCATTGTTGCAGTTGCATGACGAAAACTGCTAAATTGTGTTCTCTCCTTCTTTACAACTCATCTAGCTAATGTGTTGCTCCCTTCAAAACCATTGGTCAAACTGATAGTTTTATCAGAACTGTTTTCCGTAGCAAAAAACTTTGATGATCAAAATTTATTGACTACCATTGTTGTGTTCAGCCCCAAAGAAAAATAAGTATACATCTTTGAGATTCATCAATCATTGTCAGTTTCCACTTCAGAGTGATGAACCACTTTATATAAAATCTAATAAGATGATATAATATTTTGGAGACATTATCAAATGAAATATTAATAAATAAATTCAAACCACACACATTTTATATTAAGTAGTCACACTTTATTTAATTGGCTGTTCCATCAGTAATGCCAACGTGGTTAAAAGATAATGCAAGCATACTTACTCTCTGTCTTCCATGAAAAACTACGAATACCCCTTTAACATCCTTATGCCTTGTCTTGTTAAAACTATGAACTCCAATGTGATAAATCAACACAAAGCAGCACACATCTCTGAAGTGGAAGGAAAACTATTTATGGTTTTCAACATTTTGTTTTAATCTAGCAATTGACATCAGAATTCCTCTAATTTCTACACAGGATAGAATTGTATATAATTCAAAACATGTATAAATATGCATATGAATATAGCTGTTCTGTGAAGGATGTATGAACATAGCACAACTGCAAGCATACAGAGACATGGACGACCACACAGAACTGAAAGACAAGGAGAAAATTGATCAGAGATGCAGTGTAACAACTGTAACTGTACAGCTTAGGTGGGGGAATCTGTGGTCAATCTTTGTGCACATCACAAATCTGATCATAATACATGATAAATTAGGATTATACTGCGGTGATGATGTACCACTAATCTGGAACAAACGTCCAGAAAATTTTGAAGTGACTTTAAATCACAGCTAAAAACTTATTTGCTTAGAGCTAAATTTGATTAATAATTGGAACATTTATTAATTCTCGTGTGGATTAAATTTGTTATTGTTTCTCTCTGTTTTACCACAACAACATAACATTTTCTTTGTTCATTGTCTTATGTTTTTAACATGTGAACTACCTTACTGCTGAAATGTGCCACGCAAATAAATTTGATGCAACAGTGAAGAAATAGCAAAAACATCACATTTACATTTTTTTGTATAAAAAGACAATAGAGCCATTTTTGTGCTAACATGCATGAGAGAAACCTTTAGAAAACATCACAGAGGTTGAGAGTATTGTTGATTTGGGGAGAAACTGAGTTGTAACAAATGCAAATCTGTCACCTCAGGGGGAGTTTGAATTTGGAAAATGATGTTTAAGTCCTCCATTTTTCAAATATAAATCTGGTCTAAATGCTTTGAGATAAGCAACACATTTGTTTGACTCTAGCTTTAAATTAAAGTAAGGGAATTGTTCAACATTTAGACACATTATTTTATACTTTGGT